GTCTTCTCACCCTTCCATTTGAGTCATGGCCGCCTTGGCCCCTGGGCTGGTCTGACATGGTCGGCCTTTGCCTCTTGGCATTCTCTGGCTGGTGGTACAGATGTGAATATTCTGGTTTTGATGAACCAGGTGTCATTTGAAGAGTATATTAGAGGTAAGTGGGAGGCTCACGGCTCATTCCCCCCCCCCCAGGTTTCTCTGGGAACTGCGTGGGCTGTGGAAAGAAGGGCTTCTGCTACTTCACGGACTTCTCCAATCACATAAACCTGAAGCTGACCACCCAGCCCAAGAAGCAGAAGCACCTGAAGTACTACCTGGTCCGCAATGCCCAGGGGACGCTGACCAAGGGACCTTTGATCTGCTGGAAGGGCTCAGGTGAGGAGTTTGGCTCTGGAGGGGGTGCTGGGTGCTGGGAGTCCCCACTGGGCCACGGTGCCTGTCGGTGTGAAGGGCTGCCATCGGGTGACACCTTTGCACCGCAGGTGTCTACTGTAGTGACAGACTAAGTGCAAAGGGACATTTACAAGTGACAAAGGGCCACTCTGTTCTGTGCTCTCTGTGGCAAGTGTCTGGGGCAGTGGCTCTCCACCGGGGTGATTTTGGTCCCAGGTGATGTTTGACAGCACCTGCAGACATTTCTGATTGTGACTGGAGGTGCTCCTGGCTCCCGGGGCGGGGAGTGACCAGGGTGCTGCTGGACCTCCTGCGGTGCTTAGGACAGGATGCTGAGGCTGGGGAACCCCGATCGAGAGCAAGCTTGGCTTGATCAGCGCCACCCCGATACACCCCAAAGACCAGCTATTGTTGCTGGACCCCAGGACCCGATGGCCCAGCTTCCTGAAGCTTCATGAGAGGGCTCCACTGTGGCCCTCTTGGCCTCCCCTGCACCCCTAGTGTCCAGTCAGCTTTGAGGGGGAGAGCAGAGGGGCTGGGTGTGCTGAGGCCTGCCCTGGGTGGACAGGTGTGTCCTGGGACGGTCAGGAGAGCTGTCCTTTTGTCCCTCACTGGTTCCTTGCTTCTGGTCTTCTGCAGTCTCCCTGGCAGGTTCTGCGAGCAGCAGGAAGAGGCTTTTCGAGTGGGCATCTCTGGGCGCCCCTCCCCCCCCCACTCTCTCTTCCCGTCTTCTTAATTTATTTGATGACTATTTCTTGAGCTCCTACCATGTGCCAGGCAGCTTCCTGGCCCTGTGGACGAAGCCCATCTCCTCTTTGTGAGCCCAGCCCACCATCTCTGGCTGCTTGCTGCGACGTGATACACGTTACATTTGTTGCTGGGAGTAGCCCTTCCAGCAGGGGACGGCTGGGAAACGGAGGGACTCCCTGATCACTCCTCTACCTTTGAGTAATGGTTCCTCTTGGGCCTTTGGGCAGGGATCAGATGGGACGGTTGACTTCTCTGCCTGTCCCACCTGTGTGCTGTTGCGCCCACTCCTGACTGTCCGAGTCGTCCCTTGGGGTGGACCATGGTGGAGGACCGTCCTCTGCCACACCCTCTCACCCCAGCTCTGCACTGAAGCGAAGGCCAGCCTCGTGCTGTGGCATCTCTTATGGATGTCTGCACATCCCACTCTCCTGGTTGACACATTCCAGTCTAGGAAATGGCTTCCTAACTGTTGGGAAAGAGCGGGCTGGTTTCACACAGGCTTCTTGTTCCCAGAGTTCAGAAGCCGGCAGAGCTCCGCTGGGACTTGCTCCAGCTCTCTCTTCCCGCCGCTGGACAGCTCGGGGCCTCTGGCTGCCTTCCCCAGCGAGTCCGTTCCTGGGACGAACCCCGGCGTCCTGATGGGAGCCCAACAGGCAGGTGAGGCGGTGGAGGAGTGCCCCAGGTGCCAAGACCCCAGGCCTCGCATGTCTCCTCGAGCCTGTTCACTGTGGAGTCCACCATCTGCAAAATAAATGGAGGGTGGGCTCCCATGGGGTCTCCCCCCCACCGTGTCATGTGTCATTTTGATTGGTAGTCTGTAATTTCTGCCCTTTGATGTGTAATGTGATCCCTCGGTGGTGGGGTCAGGTCCCTCTGCACCCCCGATGCACGATGCGCGCAGCCCAGGACTCAGCACATGACAGGTACCAAGTCAGCGGCGGAGCTGCCTCTCTGGGAGGGGCAGAGGAGCCCAGGTGGCTGCCACTCACCGTGTGCTGGTTGCGCTCCAATCTGCGTGCGTCTCATCCAACCCTGGCAAGCGCCCCGTGAGCAGCTCAGTGACTGGGAAACCGAGGCTCCTGGGCACTTGCCTGGGACCTCACAGGCGGAGGCAGCTGAGACTTGACAGCAGCCATTTCTATTTCCTGTGTTTGGCACTTGGCCACCCTCCATAGACCTTCGAAACAGGATGGCTGTTACCCAGAGAGACCCGCCTTCTCAAGGGCGCTGGAAGGTCACTGGTTGTCTTCCTGGGCGGGGAAGTGCCCTTCTGCTGAGGCACTGGGCCTAGTCCACATGGCAGCTGCTGAGGGCCTTGCTGCCCCCCTGTGCCCGTGTGCCCAACCCCTCTGTACCTGGACTGAGGAGTCTTCTGTTTCTGCATCTGAGCACCTGGGCATACCTTCTAGCCTGCCTTCTTCTGCTGAATGACTTGCAGTAGCTCACTGAAGCCCTTGGGTCCTCTGTTTCCTCATCTGTAATGTTGGGGACACCCTTCCTGTCTAGTTTGCAGGGTGATTAGGAGAACTGAGGTCACAGTGAGAGTGGGCATGCCCAGTGCCCGCTTCGTGCCAGGCTCTCTTCCACCTGCTTCACAGCCACTCACTCAGGTCCTCTGCAGGGAGTGCCATGGGCTGCTGCTGTCACCACCCTGGCTCATGGAGAGCACCTTGAAGTAGGGCAGGTTGAGTAAGTGGCCCAGGTCTCCCAGCCGGTGAGGGACAGCCTGAGTTCAGCTCCAGGCCGCCTGGCTTCAGAACCCTGCTGTTAGCCCCTGGCTGGCAGCTGTGCCCACAGGAAAGACTCAGCGCTGCTCCTGGCTCCAGAGCCTTCCAGAGCGTTCTGGAGACTTGTTCAACTCGACAGTGCAGTCAGGCAGGCGCGGGAGGCCTGAACCCATGGTGGTCCCCAGAACTGTCCCAAGACATGGGGAGCCCAGGACCCACAGCAGATCAGACCCGGGAGGCTGCAAACCCAGCCACCTTTCTCCAGGGGAGGAAAGGAAGGTGGAAGGAGGCGGAGCTGTCAGGAGAGGCCCTGGAGTCTGGGGGCCACTGGCCACTCATGTTCCCTTGGTCTCCTTTCACCTGGCCGGTGTCCGCTTCTCACCAGCAGGAGTGTGCCTGCGTGTGTGCAGGTGCTCCTGTCCTGTCCACGAGGCAGGCTCGCCCTGTCAGGAATCCCCACCCCTAGGGCTAGGGATGCGCTGGGTGTGGAGCTCCCCTGCAGGAGCGAGGCCTGGGCTCCCTCCCCCGCACCACCCACGCGCAAAATAAAAAGGAATGAAGGATAACAATTAAAATTCTGACCTCCTGGTGGGGCTGGCCAGTACCAAGGCAGTTCACAAAAGTGGAAGAAAACCATTTCCTGCTTGTGTGGCCCACAGCACATCCTGGGGACTGACCCTTCTCCCTCCTTTCTCTGCTCCAGGACCAGCCCCCGACCACCCCTCGCTGACCTCAGCCTCGGGCCCAGCTGTCTTCAACGGCAAAGATTCCCCCAAGCACCAGCAGCTGGCGAAGAGCAGCCTGTCAGCCGCGCCTCGGCCCTCGGCCCTAGGTAGTGCTCGTCCCGGGCTCCAGGGTCCAGGACAGCGGGGACAAAGGAGACTCACAGCTGAGGCTGCTGAGCCTCCCGGAGTCCCGTGTTGCTTGGAGGAGCATCAGGCCAGGTTGGCGGTGCCTCCTGTATCCGGGGTCTGTGCCGGGCCCTGGAGCTGTGTGAGAGTCACACATGGGGGACGTCGGGTGTGCCGAGGAGCAGTGAGACCCTCATGGCGACAGTGACCGACCCCTCTCTTGGACCACACATCGAGGGCTGTGGAATTTTGGAGAAATGGGGGCAGTGGTGTTGACAGAGGTTCTGGATCTGAATTTAAACCCAGCTCTGTGGCCTGCTCGTCAGAGGATGGGGACCCCAGGAGGGTCAGCTGGGGGAGCTGCTGTGACCCCTCACACGCCTGCAGCTCCCTGGGGTACCGGCTGCCATCCACGCCAGTGTGTCACAGAGGCTGTCACTGCCACCACCCAGAGTGGAGGAGGTGACAGCTGAGCAGATGGCGCTGGAGGAAGGAGGCTGAGGTGGAGGTGGGCGAGAGGAGGCAGCCAAGGGCCGAGCAGCCCGGAGGAGGGTCTTGGGGCCCGTGCTCTCCTCAAGTGCTTATCCAGAGCCACCACCTCACAAGCCCGTCCCCTCTGTCCTTCCTCCTTCATGCACACAGCTAAGGGCAGGTGAGGATCTCAGGCATCCAGGTGGAAAGGCCTTAGGAAGCCTCCAGCCCCACCCTGACTGAGGAGGAGACCGAGGTCCAGAGAGGCAGGCCTGGGCTGGAATCCATGGCCACTGTGGCGGGGAGGACACCCCTGATGTGATCTTGTGGATTTCCTCGCCTTCCCTGAGGGCACAGATGTATTTTCTGAGTTGAGTCTGGGGCTCCTGTCCTGACCAGGGCATCTGTTCCAGAGCCTGAAACGCAGGAGGAGCCCCCGCCTGGCTCCCGCCCTCATCCTGGGACTGTTCTCCTCTGGGTGCTGAATTCAGGGTGGCCAAGGCCCCGGAGGTGGCTCCGTCCTGCAGCTGAGATCTGTGGGTGCCCATCCTCCACCCCACACAGGGGGACCAGGGCCTCCCTGTGCCTGGCACCCTGTGCCCTTGGCTTTGGGAAGCCAGCCGGGAGAGTTGCCTTCTTGGCTAGAATGAGGAACTTTCCAGGGCCGTACTCCATGGAGGGGTGTGGGAAACGTAGATCCCCAAATCCCTATGGGCCTAAGCCCTTCTGGAACCTGTCCACAGCCAGACTGTTGACCTCATTTCCCGCGATGGCCGCCCTCCTGCCCACACCCTGCACTTGGCTGCTGCCTCTCCTCCGTCCTCCCTGCAGGAGGCTCCCTTCTGGGGCTGCAGGCCTACCCTCCCCCCAGTCAGCTGTGGATGTGGGCCAGTGGCTCTCCAGGACCAGAGGTTCCTAAGAGCTGAGTGATTATCCTACGCCATTTCTAGAGATGGGCTGGGCGGGTGCCGAATGTCCTGCAAGGAGCGTCTTGCAGTAAGAGTTGCCTCCCTCAGATGCCAGATAAGGGCCCTTTCTTCAGAGATGGTGTAAGAAATAGTTGGCCCATGCCGTAGCAGTGGTCACTCCGGGTGATGTTTTGAAAGGGCTTATGGGCTTAGAGTCAGCTTGGAGTCATTTAGGGCTAAGCTTCCCAAGGTGGGGGAGTTCTCAGGTCTTCCACTCCAGGGCTCAGTCCAGGCCCCTTGGGCAGCGCTGAGGACCTGGCCACTAGGTGGGTGGGAGCCCTTTCACTGTGTCTAGGATGGATGTGGGGAGGTGGGAATGACGATGGCGGCCCTGCCTTAGGCGGGGTGATGAAGGAGCCCACTGGTCTTAAAGCTCTTTGTAAGCAAAGTACTTCATGTTTTAAACTTTTATTTTTAGTTGTAGATGGACACATTACCTTTATTTTATTCAGTTAGTATTTGAATGTGGTGCTGGGGATGGAACCCAGTGCCCTACACACGCTCGGCAAGCGCTCTACCACTGAGCCCCGGCCCCAGCGCTGCTTTTAACTTTTTACTCAGTTTATTTTATTATGTTTTGATCAGTCTAAAGAAGAGGTAGAAATATTTTGGGGTTACTCCCGAGAGACTCTGAAGCAGTCATTCTCAAATTACAGTGGGCTTCAGAGTACCTGGGAGGCGGCCCAGGGGCCCTCTCTTACTGTCACTTCCACTGCTGTAACCCACAGAGAGGCTCGGGAGGGGCAGTTCTAAGGAACCTCGCGGGGCCAGTGTGACTCCTTCTCAGGTGAAACTGAGAATCAGGCTCCCAGGTGGCTCATCTCCACCCTGGCTGCAGGTTAGACTCTGCGGGGAGTTCCTGGTCAGGATGCCTGGGCTCCCTGTCCTGAACTGGGGGAAAGAGAGTTTGCAAAGCTCTCAGGTGAGTTTAATGGGTGTTTAGGACTGATTGAGACAAGGAGCTCTGAATGTAGGGGACATTTTGTCAGATTGTTCAAGAAACTCTGGCAACCCAATCTGGATATTTTGAATCCTTCACATACATAGCTTGAGTCATGAACATACTGTTACCTGGAGTGGGCAGGAATGACTCATGAGCTGCAGTGGGTCCAGCTTCCCTCCTGGATTTTTTCCCATCTGAAATTAGTTTTCTAGGCTCCCTGCCTGGGGTGGGGGGTTGGGTAGGTATTAGTCATCGGTGGATCAATACTGCCCTCGAGTGGTGATAGTGCGGTGGTGCATTGAATGCTGCAGTTGGTTGCTGGTCTACAAACATCCAACTCTTCAAAAATATGTTGCAATCTATATAACGGATTATATATAATCTGTTATATATAATGATGAGGATGGTGGTGGCTGCCATTTATTGAGCCCCAATCTTCTTCTAGGTATACAAAGAACATTGCCTATATTCTCTTTAGTCCTGATTGAATCACTTTTCAGAGTAGGTTTTATTATCCTGTTTTAATGATGAAAGAGTTGAGGTCAGAGATAAAGCTTAAACACATGCGCAACTTTAGTGTGGAACATTTATAAAAAATGAAAGAATGTTGCCTTTCACCTAGATGCTTCCCTAGATACTTAGAATCTATTTTAAAACTGTGATTGTCTTTCTCCAAAGTTCCTCCACCAAAACACTAAACAAATGTTCTCCAAATCAGAAGACAGTTGTATTGAGGCTCATTTCTGGTGACAGCCTAATCCATGCTCTGAATATTGTCTAGGTATCTTGCCAAACTCCGGGCCCCCAAAAAAACGCCACAAAGGGTGGTCTCCAGAATCTCCATCAGCTACAGATGGCGGCTACTCTCAGAGTAGCGGGAACAGAGCTAAGTATGGTAGGTGACCTGCCTTGCCAAAGCCCAGCTCTTGGGCACCCATGGTGGTGTTGCTCCTGTGGTGTGTACGTGCCCACTGTGTGGCCTTGGGGAGCAGGTTCCCGGGAGACACACGTTGGCACGGCAAAGGATTTCTTACTCATGTGTCAGCCGTTTAACCAGACCCAGGGTCCTGGAGAGCAGTCCCTGATCCCAGGGAGGTGTGAAAGGTGGCTTCTGTGCCACTCACTGGATGTGGAAGAGGAGGGGACCAGGTCATTTGGAGGGGGAGGGTGGTGCTGATGTGGGTATGGGTCAGTGGGCAGTTTTGTTCGCCGGCCTGACGTGGGGCTGGTTGGGTATGCCACCTCATCTGATGCATCTTCCTTACCCTCTTGGCGTATTCCTAGAGGGTGCAGGTGTGTCCTGTGTGCCTCAGGCTGGCTTGGTGGGACCAGCCTCAGTCTCCTTTCCCGTGGTGGCCTCTGGAGAACCAGTGTCGGTCCCTGACAACTTGCTGAAGATATGCAAGGCCAAGCCGGTGATATTTAAAGGCAAGTACAGCCGCGCACCCAGCTGTGGAGGTGGGAGGCTGGAAGAAGCCACCAGAGTCAGGCAAAAGTGTGACCTGATTCCACACGTGTCCTCCAGAGACAAGCCTAACAGGGCCATGAAGGAAGGAAGCAGCCAGCTCCCAGGCTCCCCGATCCCATGCCAGGGATTCCAGAGCTCGGCGGCTTTCCACAGCCGGCCCAAGCCCAGGGTCTCACCCAGGACAGCCCTATGGCCGCTTGTTCCTGTGTCCTTCCCCAGCTCAGCTCCCCGGAGGCCCCA